TTGCCCCCGAGCCGCCCCGTCCTAGAAGTCGCCTCGGCGCCGCCGCAGCCACCCGAGACAACTCCGCATCCCGTCCCTTCCGCGCCCCCCTCACTTCTCGCAGTTGCTTGCCCCCGGGTCGAGGCAGGGGGGCATTACAGCGCAGCCCGGCGTGCCCAGCCGGCCGCCCCTCTGCTCCTCGGCTTTTCCTTCAGGCGCTTTCCTCTGCGCCCCTGCTTTCCCTCCCAGCCTGTGTAATTTGCTTTCTTTCTGTTGCCTTATCTCAACCCTATAATATTGTACAGTTACCATTAGAGACCGCCTTGTTCCTCTCGTGCTTCTTCCAGGCTACCCCGGTTATTCACCTGCGTTAGCATCCTTTCTCAGTCTAGCGTTAAACCACTCATCTTATTTCTGTTTCCAGCAGTACCTAGATATAACCACGATAGGTATCCTGGAAATGTAGAGGCTGATGCCACTAAATGTAGTCACCTAGAAACCCTTTTCCTCCCTTTGCTTCCATCTAGGCTGAGAGTGTGGGTGGCTTCTAAGTGACTGAGAGAGGTGGAATAGGTAGGAGGGAAAGGGACTGGAACATTAGGAATAACTTGGAAGGAGGAGGGTGGAACCCGTCTTCTTTGCTACTGCTGTTTGTTCCACTCTGGAGAAGTAGCAGCAGGAGGTGCTGGAGGAGGAGGATTTACAGCAGACGCTCTGGAGACCCAGAGCCAAATTCTGACTGCTGGAATTGCACACAGGCTGCATATGCCGCTGGGAGGTGGTGGAGTGTAGTAATAAGTGCAGTTGTTTTTATGTATGTAATCACTTGGATAATCGCAGGAAAATCTGCAAGTGAATTAGACTATATCAGATTATTTGCTTTTTATGTTTGGTTAATACTTGTGCATTAAGAAATCAGAAACAGCCTTTTAGAAAACCGTAGGCAGCTTTTTTTTTTTTTTTTTTTTTTTTTTGAGTTGGGAATAGTTTAAAAAGCACAGGTTTCTGGCTATTAGAACTGTGCAGTTTGATCTGCGGTGAAAGGCTGTTGTTTGTAAGAAGTCATTTAATGCCGGGAAATAGAACTACTGATTGCTATCAGGCTCCTCTTTTCCCCACTTTCAGTACTCAGATTAATTGAGAAATTGGTCTCCATCTACAGCAATATGCATGGGGGCAGATGTATGTGAAGTGCTTTGCTTGTTGGACACTAACATTAGCTGAGTATTAATTCTTCTTTTAATCTATTACCAGTGTCTCTGTTGACTGATGGTGATTTCCTGGTAATTTTTTAAGTGTCTCATTTGTTTCTGCCATGAAGTGCCTTCTAAAGGAAATACAGTTTGCTTTTGAGTATCTGGAGTATTGTATGTAACGTAGCAGAGTTGTTATCAGGAAAATTAAACTTGTTTCTGGACACAAGAGTGAGGCATGACCTTCGATATACTGACCGTGATTTGTCAATCAGATACTGAAGTGTCTGCAAAACAAACCTGTTTCTGTAGTTTTCCTCATTCATATGTATGTTAACGAATCTCTCCATACATAGACGCAATCAAACAGATTAATTTGGGGTTTTATATCTTGTTTTGCCCTGACCATCGTTTTCAAAGCTAGTCAAAATATGTTCAAAATATGTCTTCTCTTAAGAAACAGTTTTGAGCGAGTAACGCTTCTTTTGGAAGTGTATGTTATTGTAAAGCTCCTTATTAAATAATACTGTAAGATATTTACTAGACAACGAGGAAAGCTTTGTCGTCCATTATGAATTGAAGTGCTTTTTATTCCTTGAGAGACTCAGCACTGGAAAGGTATTTTTTTTGCAAAGTTCTCATAGCAGCCATAAATACCTCTTGCTAGACAGACTTCCTGTTTGCTGTACTTTGCCCTGTGCTGTTGTCAAAAGACACCTTGATTTTTGTTCTAGAAAAGGCAAGAGTCAAGAAATGGCCAGCCAGAGCAAATAAGTAAGCTGGGAGGAAAAAAAAAAAATCACATGACCAGACTGAATATTTTTTTATTTTAATTAGGAAATGCATTCTTGCTTTTATAATTCAGTGAGCAAGTCCTACATATCAATTATTGGGTTTGTTAACTGGGGAAAACTTTTAAGGATAGTGATGTATCCAGAGTTGCATAGAGGTGCCCAACATATTCAGAGCTTCCATTACATCAGGAAACTGTTACCTGAAAAAAAAACCTGACCATTAGTGGTGGGGTTTTTTTTTTTATATGTGGCCTCCTGACTCTTCAGAGTGATAATGAGAAGGGAAAGATGTACCCACTTCCTCCGCTAGATTTGCATTGAAAATTATTTTCATGTAAAATTGAATAGAGTTGTAAACACTGCAGGAACACTTGTTAGTCACAACAGTGGTGGAATTATGCTAATATAATGCTAACACTCTGTGGTGTAGTTGATATCATGCCTGTTAAGATGCTTGTGACTTGCATGTAACACAAACTCAGTAAATTGATTTTTGTTTAGATCTCTGCCTGTCAGGTAATTTGATGCTACTGAAGTTCGAGGCAGAAAGATCCGGTGATGACAATGAGTTCTACTTACCAGTCAAAGGAAGAAACACCGTTAAATAAGGGCACGCTTAAACCCTTATTGTTATTATTTGAAAATGAGAAATCCAAGTTAGACTTTCTTGCATGTAGCTTCTCTTGGATTACAGAATTTAAACTGAGACAGTACTCTGAGTCAATTCTAAAATATTTATTTATAGGGCTAAAGCTTTCACAGTGTGGAATCAGACACATGATATTTTAACTACCTTAGTTTTAGGGTGTAGACCAGTACGGCTAGCATAATTTCAAAAGTTAATTGGAATGTTTTGCTGCTTGTTTTCCAGACTTACCCACAGGTTGGGAGGAAGCTTATACTTTTGAAGGTGCAAGATACTATGTAAAGTAAGTTGAATGCTTATCTGTCACAATACTGTCATTTTCAACTAGTTTGTCTAAATGTTGCTGTAATCTTGAAAGTATTCCAAACTGAAATTAAGTGTTATGCTATAAATCTAGGAGGAGTATTCAAGTTTTTCACAGTGTCTGTAGTCCTCTGTTTACTGAATTCTGCACATGTAAAACAATTTCTTGAGTTTTTGTGTTAATACTTTTAATTAAAGCTGCTTAAGGATGAAGGTTCAAATGAAATTTCTGCTGCGAGTGTGATGGTCTAGCACCAAATATCCTTGCAAGTGAAGAATACCTTGTGTTTGTTTGTTTGACACTTGGGTGTATGCGCTGTCATCCCATAAAGACTTTCAGAAGGGCAAGATCTTTCTTCGTCACTGAGAGAAGAGTCTTGATTCACCCCTAGTCTCTAGTAATTATGTTGTTCAAAGCCACGCTGAAGGTTTAATGTGGCTGTTTTCTTTGCAGACCTTCTGTTTCTGCTTCTAGCATTGATTCTTCATTAATTTTTTTTATTCAGGTTTTAGTATGTTTTGAGGGGTGTGTCCACTGTGGTAGATTTGCTGTATGTGTTGTCTTTTTGAATGCTAGGCATGGAAGTAGAGCTCTTACACAGAAGTCCAGAGGTTGTGTTGATCAGATCTGTACAAACTTTTTACAAGATTTTTCCCTCCAGCTAGTCAGACCATCCTTGTCTGGAAAAGTTTGAAGTGGCATCTGTGTGTATTTGTCCAGTTAATAGCTGCTTTTTCTGTTATTTAAGAATTCGCAGGCTTTTCTCAATTAAATCAAAAGTTTTTGCTCACTGCACTCTGTGTTTGGTGCCATCTGTAGATGAAGTGTCACCAGTGGGGTAACTTGTATGAGTGAAGGTTACTGATAGTCATAGAGGTTACAGGCTGTGGGTAGGCTTTTCTGTGTCTTCGCGTTGAGCAAATGGTAGCTGCTCTGTGTAGGTTGCATTGTAGACATTGAGATGGATGTTACATATGTGTTGCATGGCTTATTTTATATAGGAAAGTGTTTGATTTGATCCTAAACAAAACAAAAAAATACTGGTCAGAACTGGTGCTGGGCTCTGTAGAAGGGGTCGTCTTAATAGGAGACATGTTTGCTTTACTCTTCTGCCTTCTTGTAATTTACATTACACTAGTCTTTTATAGCAGCTGACAAGAACTACACCGGACTGAGGACAGGAACGTACTAACGAGTGCACCTCTGGTGTTCTGTTCAGATTATTGACTGAAGACGAGTGTAAATTAAAGAAAGTTGTATTTGTGTGTGTATATAATATAAAAAGGAAATCTTCTAGACTTTCAGGTGGAACTTGTTTTCATAGAATAAACCTATGAGGAATGTGCTATCTGTAGTAACTGGAAAATAACAACTTGAGTTTTCTTAGAATAAAAAAAAAAGTGTGTGGACAGGTATTGTAGAGTGACTGATGTGCTTATGCACAAGCTTACAAAGTTGTTTGTGTACTCTTGTCCGTATAAGACATTGTGTTCAAGGTGTTATCGTAACTGTTAGGATGTACATTAAGCTGATTGTTTTGCTCGTAGCCAACACTAAGTAGCTCTGTTTATATTGAAAAGTTGTGCTGCATCTTTGAAAACATGTTGCACAAGCAACACTTCTCTGTGATTTGATAAATGTAGGAGGATAGCAGGAATCGTGTTGTCAAGCCTGCTGAAAGGTTCACATGGTACGACCAGTTTGGCATCCTTAGTTAAATAAGTGTTTGTTGTGTTGCCTCTCAGGCTGAATTTAAACTTCTGCCCAATGACAGCTTCTCCTTTTAAAGCTGTCTAGCATTCAGCCCTACCGGTGCTAAAGAAGATGTGAGAGCTAACGTAGACAGGGTGACAACATGATAATCACTGTCTTATAATACTAGGCGATGTAACTCCGGATGATGTGTTGATTATAATAATTCTAGTTGTCTGAATCTAAACTTCTGTGGTGCTCCTGCATGAGTGGGAAACAGCGCAGGTTGTTGTGACCTTGTGCTATATGGGCACCCCCACACAAGGATTTTTGATTTCTGCTCATTTGAGTGTACTGATTTGCTAAATATTAATGTTTATTATGTTGATTACAGCATAATAAAACTATATTAAAAACTAAAAATATTGAAAACTTTTTCATTATCAGGTCTGAGAGAAATACCTTGTTTCATGTTCTGGTATGGGTTACAAAGTTACAAGGGACTGAATGTTAATGGCAGGCTATTGATTAATTCAGTCATGTGAAACTTGGCTGTTGGATTTCTCTAATGTGTCCAGTGAGAGAGTTAGACAAGAAGGATAGTCAAGTTTCCTGATCACATAAATAATTTCACCTAAATTTTGAGGCACAGTTTCAAATATGTGGGTTGAATAAAATTATTTAAGAACCTTGCTTTATGGTAAGATCTTATGCTAGACTGTGTTTGAAAATAAAAACCTTTTGAAAATTATTCTTCTGGTTCTTTAATAATAGGTCTTCACTGTTCCAAGTGGGTGTGTCACTGAATCTATTACTGTGCTTTTTCTGGCTTTGATGTAGTAAACACTGTATAATCAAATTGGGATAATGTTGAGGAGATAATCGTCAGCTAAATCTTAACATTCCTTGGACTGGCATTTCAAACGAATGACTCAGGATACAGACTGCATTGAAATGTGATTATTTTTAAAGGACACTATTTTTCTTGGGATGTGCACATTCATTTTCAGAATATGAATACCAAATGGTGACTATATTACACACTAGTTTTTTCCTCATGACATTGAATTTGTGCTACCTGTAAAAAGGAAGGATGTTCGAAACAGGGATAGATATGGAGCTGTTTCCATTGCATAAGGTGTTTTTGGTTTTGTTTAGAGTTGTATTAGCAAGTTGATGCTAGCTAGGATTTTGACTTTTTTTGCAGTTTTTTGGATTAGTATAAGAATTCAAATACTCGATAATGACAAAATCCTTCCCCCCACATCCTCCCTATCCCTTGTAAATGCAAATGACAAAAGGTCTTGTTTGTTATTTGGAGCAAAAAAATATGCAATGCTATAATATATTGGATATGTTCTCATGACACATGGTTACATTGTGAAGTGTTTTGTCTCTTTGGGAGTGAGAAAGTCTGCTTTTGTTTACTTAATGTTAGAAGTGTGCACAAATAGCCCTTTGTCATCACTTGGTGAGAACTCTGTTGGCAAACTTTTCTGAAATAATACTTGGTTTGGGTGCAATCTTTATTTATACATTAACTAGACTTTTACCTTGAATATAGGGCTGTATGACTGTAGAATCGACACATTCAAATATAACCTTTTAATAATTAGTTTATTATCAGTTAACTGTTGAATCTTCTGTGTTATGAAATAAAACAAGATATGGGAAAATTCTTCAGTTTGAAAATGATGGCACAGCATGCTGAAAAATTTGAGATTTTCTTTTGGTCTGCATAGAATACTTCACTGGACTACTTATTTATGCTTGGTGTATTGAGCACTCATTGAGCTCTGGATAGTTAAGGGCTTTATCCCCAAAACAAATTTAAGCAGGGTAATAGTATGGGAAGCTTCTTACATCATTTATAAGTGCATAAGGAAATGGACCCATGTGACAATCCCAGCGTGATACTTGTCAATAGAGAAGACATACCTGGTCATGGGCTTCAGACTCTTCACCTATTAAGATCAATGAGAATTTGCAGCTTGATGGTTTTAGTACCTTTTGATGACTGCATAGATATTAGGCACCAAGGCACTGTTTTTTCACTTCTATATAATGGCATAAATTGTCTTTCTCTGTGTATATGTGTGTGTATATTTATTCCTATGCGTATGTTAAAACCACCTGACTATCTAAACTCAGGCATTTGCTTACTTGCCTTTTTCCCTTTTTAATTTCAGTAGTTCTGAACATGTTAGGATTTTTGTCTTGATTTTTTTTTAAACCAGATTAATATTATCTATGTTGTTAATTTACTAAACAAAGTTGTTTTAAAAATCAGTCCAAGTATGATATCTGAGGAATTTTGTATCAGTCTGACTGGTTTGGCTTCTACAGATGCACTCTTGGATAAGCTGTTCGGGTGTTAGAATTTGGTATTTCTTAACTCTGCCGTAGGACCGATACTTTTGGGACAGTACAAAAGCTGACTGAAAAAGTTCTTAAAAACTTAAAGAATTAAGAAGGTTACAGTTTCATTTTTAGAGTTTTGTGTTGAAGTTTACTTTTTTCTGTATTTATCAGCACAATTTTTGCCTGGCTCTTGCTGAAGCAAGGCATTGGCAAACCCAGGCCACAGCTGAGGTGAGTTCACTGTTGCATCAAATAGGGGGTTTTGTATGCTTTTATAGAGACTTTTATCAATGCAGGTTTGCTTATTGTAGGCATGTAGCTTGAAACTGGGAAGGTAAGAAAAATTTATGAAGTGATTTAAAGGGATAAGATCTCTTTCAGCCTTGAGCTTCTGTTGTTTACTAAAATAAACCTGTGCTTATTGAGAATTCAGCTTTTGTTTGAACCTTTGTCTTTTATGTGCATTCTAAAGATCCTCTCCCATTCAGCTGAGGACTTCTCCTGAAAAATCAAAGAACAGCTAGTCATGTTTGCAGAGAAGCCCTTTCTTGAGAGGAAAAATGGGATTTAAAAAAAAAATAGAACAGATCAGATTGTTTTCTTCTAACAGTAAGGATCATGGCGTTCCTCCCAGAAATTTATTTCTTCTCTTGTTACCTCTGACCTTTATTTTACTAAAATTAAGGAAAAACTAAAGTTTATTCTTCACCTTCATTCGGTTCATTCTTTCATGGTAAGACCTTCGGGTCAAATAGTGACGTATGGCTAGATGGGTGAACTGGGACATAACAGTACAGTGAACTAACCTGTGCCTTTTTATCTTTGTAGTGAGCAAAGCTGTTTAGAAAAAGAGAACTTTTTAGGAATGCCTGCAAATTATTATCTATTTTTAAATTTATTTCTTTATTCCACTGAAATATTTCAAG